TATTAAGCTAAGACTACTCTATAGGGTTTATATAGGTATCGAATATAGTAGAAGTAACTAAATTAATAAATAATAGTAGGAACTAACCTAGGTATAATTATATTAGTTAGTTATAGGAAGTAGAAGGACTAAGAAGAGGTAAGCTCCCTTTAGTTATATAACTCTTAGTATTAATACCTTAGATATCCGTATTAGCCTACCTATCTAGACTATACTATCTAATATATAGTAAAAATATATAAAAGTATATATTTAGATCTTTTATACTAAAGTAGAATACTAAGGTTAATACTACTTTAAGGAGTTAGCTATATAATCTATTATATAAGTTTAGTTCTAAATTTCTCTATATAACTAGATATAAGAAGATAATAAACCTAATAGAGAAGAAGAGTATAGATATATCTTAGTTATCGTCTCTAGACCTTTCGTCGATAGATTTACAAAAGAGGTAGAGTCTACCGTCTATCTAACTAGGCCTATATAATAGTGCTATAAAGCCCACAAGCTGACATATCAAACCTTGTTGCTAAGGCTTTCCGAGCATCCATGTCTTGGTCCTCGACGGATAGCGACGGCCTCAGGCCATCCGAATTGGGTAGGCTGCCTGCCTATTCTAGAACGACGTATCACGATCTACCCGGGCCTTGAAGCGCGTAGCACGGTTGACACACCGATCTCAGAAGATCCTGATCACAGTCTCCATGTAGAGCGGATGCTCATCACGACATTTGCTATGTACTTTGCTCGGGGCACAAGTCTGACTTGCATACTACGATACGCTCACCATCATGTTTGCATCCAGACGCAGGTTGTTGGCCAACCTATACAAAACTACTTCCCGCGGTAGAGACAAGAGTCCAGCTCTGAGAATACAACAAGTGTCGAGTTTGCACTCCAGTGATGCCAACGGTACGAAGCGAGCCACCTCAGGTCCTATATTCTATGCCAGTGAGTGACTTATTTTGAGGTGACTTCAGTAAACTTGAGTGGACCCTCACTGACGATACGTTACTCCCAGCTGCCGTGGCTGCTGCTGTCTTTGGCATTTCAGGTCTCTCGCTTGGCGGACACCAGAACTCGCATCTTCTTGAAACGAATACACTGCCATTGCAACGTCCCGATCAAAAGCGAGACACGTCATCCACGAGCCCTCTCGATCGCTCTATAAGGCCCGAGCTGGACGTCTCCGTCGCCAACCTTCGAAAGGCACGACTACAAATAGCTGCGATCGTAGGAGAAGAGAACATCGATAGCCGCATAGACGAGATCAAGCGTCACACTGGTACAGAGTGGTCTTCCCACCCAGGGAGCCCGGACGAGGCCCCAGCCGCAATCGTGAGGCCAAATTCAACTGAGGAGGTGTCAGGTGTTATGAAGGTCTGCAACGAGCTGAGAATTCCTGTCGTCGCATTTTCGGGAGGCACAAGTTTGGAAGCTCAGTTTGCCAATACACGGCGGGGAGTCAGTCTCGATCTCAGCCGTATGGACAAGATACTAGCCAGTCACAAGGACGACCTTGACGTGGTGGTACAGCCTGGGGTTGGGTACGAACAGTTGAATCAGGCACTTGCCGAGCAGGTAAAGTGACAATCCTCACTATTTATTCGAGTCACACTAATGGATGCTGAACCTGATCCTAGGAACTGTTCTTTCCACCTGATCCTGGCCCAGGAGCAATGATCGGTGGAATGATCGGTACCGGCTGTTCGGGAACCAACGCCTATCATTATGGAACGATGAAGAATTGGGTCATTTCGGTGACAGTCGTGCTTCCGGATGGCACAGTCATAAAAACAAGGCAACGGCCAATGAAGAGCAGTGCAGGGTTTGTCTCTCGAAGATTGGAAAGACATAGGCCTGCGCTAACCTGCAGTGCTTGAAACAGGTACGATCTGACAAGGCTCTTCGTAGGAAGCGAGGGAACCTTGGGCATAGTGACTGAAGCAGTCCTTCGAGTCACGACCCTGCCTAGAAATATACGGGTAGCCGTTGCATCGTTTCCGTCTGTCCGGGCAGCTGCTGAGTGTGTGGGAAGAGTCGTACAGAAAGGTGTTGCAATTGCCGCCGTCGAATTGTTGGACGAGACTGCAATCAAGTGCATTAATGAGAGCGGGGCAACAGGTCGGGAATGGCTGGAGCAACCTACACTGTTCCTCAAATTCTCGGGAACAGAAACTGAAGTCAGCGAGGAGATTCAAACAGTTAGAGAGATGGCCAGTCTCTGTGGCAATATTGGATTTGTCTTCGCCCAGGACGAAGAGGAGGCCGAGGATCTTTGGGGTGCCAGAAAGACGATGCTCTGGGGCAGTCAGGCGCTGAAGAAGAGAGATGATGATCGAACTTGGATTACAGATGTAGCTGTGCCCATGTCGAGGCTGCCCGAAATCATCGAGTTGACAAAGCAAGAGCTCGATCAAAGCGGCTTGTCAGGGGCGATTGTTGGCCATGTTGGAGACGGCAATTTTCATGGTAAGTCTCACTTGCTCGAGCTTTTGGTTCTAGGAGTTATTGCTTTCTAACACCTGTCCAGCTGCGATCATGTATGGTGAGGATGAGCGTACTCTTGTTGAAGACATCGTTCATCGGATGGTCCACCGAGCAATCGAGATGGAAGGGACCGTCACCGGTGAGCACGGGGTAGGCCTGGTCAAGCGAGATTATCTGCCACACGAGCTTGGCCAGAGCACAGTCGATTCCATGCGTAGAGTGAGTAACAGACTCTGCTTTTCTTACTGCCACCCACTGACCACTCGTGATCGTCAGATTAAGCAGGCCTTTGACCCTCTCTGTCTTTTGAACTGCGACAAGGTCATTCGCGCAGAAGCTTAGCCTCTCAGCATGAAAACTGTGTTTTAAGAAGACATCATCTTTGCTCGAGCGTATACCGTAGGCCATTTTACCCTCGCTTGACATGTGACAGTTGTCTGACTGTTGTGAGGCTTGCAGCCACCGGCTGAATCTTGACAATATCTTTGAGAGACACGAAATACTTTCCAGATACTTTAAGAGTGAAAACCCCAAATTCATCACCGTCTTCGAATATGTTGTCTTGAGCGATATCAGGCTGTGGCCCCGGGTGATCTATTATTAGCGTCCTTGGACCATGACGTACGCGGCTGACCCACACTTTTGGTGGCTGGGTGCTCTCAGACTCACACATGCACAACCCACACGCCAAACATCATTCAAATCATTGGACATCTCCCATCGTTAAACCAAAAAGTCGAAGCGCATCAATCATATTGAGCTTGCTTTGCCCCGGCGTCTGCGCTGGGGGCCCAATAGTTCGCGAGTGATGCGTACTCCTGGACAAATATGGCTAGTTCTATGAGACAAGATACGACACGGAGCCAGAGTAAAGACTGCCGTAATTGTAAAAGAAGAAAATTACCATGCAGTATGTTCAGCACACTTTCCGCGCAGTTATTTGCTCCCTGTCCATGCTGCAGCCTTGGCCTCGCTGGCGCTTCTGACACATCAAGCAGGCCAAACGCACCCGACTTGCCATCAATGCCTGCAGAGTGGGCTGAACTGTCAGCCGCTACGACTCCGTGGCGGACCATCTGCTTGGAGATCCGCTCCTCACTCCAGCGCTGCGGCGACTTCACCATTCCAAGCTACTTCTTCGGCCTCTGCGTCAGCTGGCTCCGGCCAACTGATAGAACTATCATTTCAAGATGAGGGCGAGACAATATTGCCAGACACTGGGAATGAGCTCTCCTGCACGAACATCTCTCCAGTACCTGCTATGCTGAATATTGCAGCGTTCAAAGACAATATCCAGGCCTCGTGGCTATATCACCATTACGATCATCGACCTGCCTTGCGACGGCTTTTCGTTGCCAGTTCGAGCCACGACTTTGGAGCCGCCGCAGTCTCTGCGGCCACAGCAATGTCTACTATCATGTTCGCCAAGTTTTACAACCTGCCGCTTTCGCCACACTCCGAACCTGTGCAGCCTCCCTATTGTACAGAGTATGCCTCTGCGGTTCGGACGCTGTCGATGCAGATCCCTTTCTTCAAAGTGTCTTCTTTGGAAGAGGTTCTGGCTCCAGCACTGCTGCTGCTTATCGCTGAGGTACCTGAATATTCATTCCGCGTGGGGCAGTCACTGACAGTTCTCAGAGCTGGCTGATAGGTCAAAGTCCGGCACACGACTCTGGACTTGAGCAGCTCGTCAAGGCCTCCGGAGAATCGTTATTTCATAGCTCACACCATGATCTTTTCAGTGAAGTCCGCTTGACAATGGTATGTAGGGAGATTGGAATAAAAGTCCGCTACCCAACCTTTTAATTAGGTTGCTTACAATGCTCTGCATAGGTCTCGCACGCTCTATAATTCGGCGAGCGAACGATGTTTGGCGAAGAACGGTGGAAGCGAGCCCCCCTTCCGCCGGCACTGTCCCTAAAGTCGCCGTCGGATGTCCTGATTGACTACATGACAGACACCTCAGCCCTTCTGGAAGATGGCAAAAACACGCAGGTCTTGAACCAACAAGTTCTAAGCCAAAATCTCGAGTATCGAGCTCGTTCTGTTCTCCACCAGCTGTTTTCTTGGCGCTGGGCCTGGCAAGCCCGCAATGCCAATGACGTTTTTGAGGTGGATGCCGGAAAAAGTGAAGTGTTCGAAACTATGTTGCACTACGCTGAGCCGCATCTCATGTACGAGATCTGGCTTTGCGATGCCCTGTTGATCATCGTCCTCGGCTTCTTGAACCCGGTCCAGCCTCAGGAGGATTTTGCCCGAGCCGGTCGTCCAAGTGGCAAGTTATGGACGCCTTGTGAGACATCATCCGTCCGAGAACCAGCGATTGAGATCTGCAGGTCTTTTGAATATCAGCTTCAAAATCTCTGGGCTCCTTCACCCGTGCATCAGTGGGCAATGCCTCTGGCGCTGGCAGATGTCACCCTCCAATCCACGGATCCAATCAAAGCGTGGGTCCTTCGCCAAATTCTAGCTGCCCCAGACCGTCGGAGGGTTCCATGGCTTTGGTTCATTGAATGGCTCTTGGGACAAAATCGAGAGGCGCCTGTTAACTTGTTTGCCAGTTGGCCAGTCAGGAGATCTGGATCTGGCAGTCTTGGATTCTGATAAAGGATAAGAAGTGCAAGCAAAGCTAGCTTGTACGCCCTCGGGCTGGAACACTTACACCTCTGAGAGCCGAACCCAACCGTTATTCAGGATCTAAAGCTTGTGGCGGCACACAGTTGGAAGTACAATTCTTGGAATCCACCACTAGAGATTTTCAGAACTCATATCAGGGCATACTTCTCGCCACTGGCAGTCTCTGCTCTCTTAATAGACGCCTTATACCCAGGTCTACCTGTCAGACGCTCGACATAGGCTCCAAGCCCTGGGTACTCGTTGAGGCCCACGGTACTCTGCAACACCAACAATGGGAGTGAAATCATGATATCCGCCGCTGTCAAGCCGTTGCCACAAAGATACGGTCCGCCCTGAGGCGCTGAGTTGATTTGGGACTCCAGAAAGGTCAAATACGTTTGCACCTCGCGCAATTCGTGTTTCCGCGTCGACTCCACTGTACTATCGTCACTTTTTATCTCTGGACTGTATCAGTGCTCCGAAGTCAACACAAATCATGTCTATATCGTACCACCAAGCACATGAATGCGCATCAACAGCGACATAAGGCTGCCTTCGGTGTAGTGCATGTAGTAGCGGTACCGAAGCCAACTTCGTGTTTCGCCGCAGATATTGCCTTCCCTTCCATCCTGGAATCGCTTCGGGGCAAGATGAGGAGCATAATAGTCGACGAGGTATTCAAAGACCGTGCCAGACTCTGCCATCGCGAGGCGGTCCAATTTCCCAGGCTCCTCGATGGTGAGAACAGGCGCTTTTCCGAGCGGATGCACTTGCTTCATCTCAGGGGGTGCCTTGTGGTCGACCCGCTTGTAGGCCTTGATTTCGTAGGGGATTCGGCATTCTTCGAGCAGCCAGAGAAGCCGCTGAGCTCGTGATCTCTCAAGCCTGCCATTCTTTGAGTCGGAGCCTATGCAAGAAGAAAGAGCTCACGACCGTATGGCTAAGAAGAAGGCCACTCGCACCGTGATCTTCGCCGACTCGTTGCGGGCAGGATCAGGGTAGGCTGTCGCCATATCGCTTTATTTACTGCCAAATGCCACCTCGACACGACAAGGCCGATCTTCTTGCCACGATCCTTTAACTGATATCTGGGATTGCTCTCCAGGATGAGGTCTTGTTCAACGTCTCTGGCCTTAATCAAAGAAGCTAAGCTTGTCCACAAATCTTCTCATGTTACCGTGTACCCTAGACTACCAGAGCTTGGAGAGGCGTGCTACTGTGCATCTTCGGCGCGCCGCACAAATGATTGGTGGACCTAAGCCTCATGGCAGCTTCCCGATGCGGAAGGCAACCTGCTGTTTACGGTTAGGCAGTTTCAGCGTCGAGACGCATGTGACAATGTCAGTTCGCTGAATCCATTAAAATGGAGCCGATATTAAAAGGGCCTCACAGCGAAAACGTTCAAGTCTAGTTTATATCTACCAAGAACATCCAATTAAACTACATGTTGAAGCGGAGCTAGCACAATTGTGTCCAGCCGCCAGCACCAGCAAGGGTTGCCCTCGCTCGGGGGAAAAGGGTCTCGGAAGCGGACTCGGTACCCGCTGACGAATATGTATATCTCCTCGTCCGCCGCCATCACAGTGCGAGTCTTGACGAGATCACTTTGCAATTCCGGCGTCCTCGGTAGCAACTTTCTCTTGCCTTTCTTTTTGTACCTTCGATGGTCTCCGCCAAAGCCAGCTGAAAGACTCCAGCAATGGTATGTTGTAATGATCTTCGATCAAAATAATGGTCACCCTTGCCCACGCTAAGATGGCGGACACGATCCAAAAGTACGCCGCTGCCTTCATGCCCGTCTTCACCCCACTGCCGTAGCTGTACATACAACAAGCTATTGTGCTTCCCGTCGCAAGACAGACCAGTACGGCGGTGAGAAGCAAGTCTTTCTTGGCGCAGGCGACCGTCTACATTCAGCTTCATTAGCATTGGTAAAGAAGGAAGGCTTCGCATACTCGCCCCTGACCAGGTGAAAAATGACACGACGACGAACCAGGTAGCAAGTTCTGGAAAGTGAAAGTGAACACTGGGCGGTGCTTCCTTAGCCAATGCCTGTCGAGAACTTAGGTTAGCGTTGCAAATCGTTGCAAGTTCTTCGTCAAATGGACATACGGCTAGCAGATAGAGTAGCCCAAGAGCTATCCACAAAGAGGCCCACATGGCATTGATGACCGTGATCAACACTTCCCAGCCAAGAAGCCAAAGATCGCCGCAACGAATTGCGCAAAGCCGCCGAAGAGAGCCACGAAAGGGAAGAACAAGTTTGGCGACGCTGGCCCTCCCCACCATTCTGCGATATAGGATGATGTGATAAATGTTGAACCGGCGAGACCCGCGAGACCCAATGCCAAAGGATTGGCGACTGCGATTGAGATCTTGACGACGAACTTGTCGTCCTCGACGACGTGAAGAAGGGAGGCCGACATCTGGGGCTTTTCGAAGAGTGGTAGAGATTTTGTGTCGCACGGCGTCTATGCTAGTTGTTGAGCATATGTAGGAAACACAACAAAGATCTCGTCTCAAGAGCCGCGATCTCCAAGATTAAGCATTGTCGCATCGCTCGCCCGAGGAAGGGTTGTCTGGGAAAGCTCGCTCCGCTTCGGAGCTTGCATAATGTCTGTTACGTGCTGCTGACTACAAGCCTTGCGAGATGGTGGCTTTCTCTTTTCGGATGTGTCGGACGAGACTGATCGATTGCACTTTGCGGCTCATCCTACAAGGCGCTAACAAGTAGGTACAGTATCGGACTAGGTCTATAACAGCAGTCAACCTTCCCTTTTAGTCAAGCTTCAATGCTGGTAAGAAAGGACAACCCCTCATGTTGGAGAACTGCGGAGCAATGGAACGGTGCCAGCCTTGTGGCCATTTAATATGTATAGCAAACAGAGAGCCAAGGCGACGTTCAGTCTCACTTTCCCACAACGCAGTACGACGCTCAGACAATGGCTAAGATCAAGGTTGGGGACTACCTCTTCCAGCGGCTTGCCCAACTCAACATCAAGACGGTTTGGGGTGTTCCGGGAGGTTGGCATTTCAGAAATGGCAGGATGACTTTCGAATGCTGAAGTGATGACTTCGCAGATTACGAACTCGCTCTTCTGGACCTTATTGGCGATGCAGGCATACGATTCAGTGGTAATGCCAACGAGTTGATTGCTTCCTACGCGGCTGATGGGTGCGGATCAACACATGAATGAGGCTTGCGTAAGAGCTTGGTTGACGGTCCCAGGTATTCTCGATTGAATGGCGCAGGGGCTCTCGTAACGACTTATGGTCCAGGCGAGCTGAGCGCTTATTGCGGACATGCTGGGGCCTATGCGGAGTTCTGCCCTGTTGTACACATCGTTGGCTATCCAGGTAAAAGCTCGAGTGCCGTCTCCAAACCCTGGTCCAACTCTGAACATGTCCAGGCGTTACTGCGATGAAGAACAAGACGCTCATGCATCACTCCCTGGGCACCGGCGAATTCGAGTAGGTGCAGCACACAAGCCAATGGAAAATGGCTAACAAAAAATCAGCATGTATCACGAGATGATCAAGCACATTTCGGCGGACACGACAGTCCTTACAGAAATCTCGACAGCCGTTGCAGACATCGACAGATGCCTAAACAGCATGCTCTACCACAGTCGGCCTGTGTACATCGGGGTTCCAGTCGACATGTCCCATCGTCTCGTATCTGCCGACGGCCTGAAGACTCCTCTGCGAACAGAACTACCGCCCAACGATCAAAAGACAGAGGCGTCTGTCGTCGACCAGATTTTGCAAAAGCTAGGAAAATTTTCATATCCTGTCATCATCGCGGATGGGAATGCGGTTCGAGACGGCTGTGTAGCAGCAGAGGACAGGTTGGCGGAAATCACGGGCTTTCCATACTTTACGACGTGCATGGGAAAAGGCGGACCAAATGAGGATCTTCCCAACTTCGGTGGTGTATACCAGGGAGCTGGAAGCACACCAGATATCAAAAAGGCTGTCGAGAGTGCCGATTGCGTCCTGTGGCTGGGAAGTTTCCGGTTGAGAAAAAAGCATCGAGTCCAGGAGAATCGGGAGCACGACTGATGATAGCCTCTAGACCGACTTCAACAGCGGCGAGTTTACGGATAACGTCGCGACGTCCGTGATCGTTGATATGCAGCGCTTCTTCACCAAGGTAGGCGCCCATAGTGGACAGACTGAAGAATTCGCCCTTCGCTAAGACTTTGTTCAGATCGGGGAGACGAGATACGAAGTCGGCATCAAAGGAGTGCTCTCTGCCTTAAACCAACATTTGGAGCAGACCCCGTCAACAACCAGAGCTCCGAAAGTTAATTGGAACCCTTTCCCAACGGATCAGTTTGTTGTCAAAGATGAGTTGACCCAGGATTATCTTTGGGATGTGAGCTGAGAGACACGGCGATCCTTCATCCCCTCGTTCCTGACAGAGTGGCAGGCATTGAAGGACCTTTTCCGACCTGGCGACGTGGTAGTGGCTGAAACAGGAACTTCGGGTGAGTGGGAGAATTCTCAGAGTATGTCTTCTGCAATTGTGCTGACGGCCAGTAAAGCATTTGGTGCCGCCGCAACAAAACTTCCCAAAGGATGTTTGATGTACAATCAGACCATCTTTGGCAGCATTGGGTATGCCGGTCCATCCGCTGCTGGCGCCTTCCAGGCTGCCAAAGAGTCTGGCCGATTGAAACGTGGCATCGTGATCACAGGAGAAGGCAGCCTGCAGTTGACGCCAATGTGCTTTGCGGATATGCTGAAGCTCGATCATAAGCCGATAGTGTAGGCAGGAAGTTCAAGTGCACAATTAAGTTTCGGTTTTGCTGATTTGATCGACAGGTTCGTCCTGAACAATAACGGATATACCGTGGAGCGTTTAATCCACGGGAAAGATGCATCTTATAACACTCTCCCACTGTGGGATTACGACGCCTTGCGGAAGGTGTTCGGCCCAGCACATCCATCCAGGTACTACGGACCTATCAAGACCCGCGAGCAATTCGACTCGTTGTTGAAGGATGAGCAGTTCCAGCGATCAGAAATTTTCCAGGTAAATTTCTCAGTGCTTAGTTCAAACCCGAAGATTTACTGACCCACGAACAGCTTGTTGAGCTTGTCTTGGACGAACTCGATGCCCCTCTGTCGGTTCGCCTCGTCACGTCTGCCATAGAAGAGTTCAACCAGAAGCATGCTGCTGGAGCTTCCATGGCCGGTTGATGCTCTGCCGGAAAAGTCCTCTTCGTTGGCTTCAGGCGGTACGGTGATTTTTTCGAATAAGGAGTATCAGGGAACGAAGCACTACTGGGGTAAATCGTCGAATATTTGTTGCAAAGTCGTGCGTTGCCGGAAATGCCGCCTTATTTGCTAGAGCCGCACTCAAGCGCATACTGCATGGATGGAGATGGCATACATCCCCAAATAAACTGCGGAGTCAGTAACCCAGGGATCAGAAGTCTCTTATACTCATCGTCCTCGGTGCCGCTATAAAGATCAATCTTCGAACTGAGATGGCAGCTAGGTGTGCTTTGAATAGTGTGGTAAAAGCCTCCGGCGTGCTTGAAAGGCGAGGCTAGTCGTGGGTCATTCTGGCATTTCATTGAGATATCACAACGATAAGCATGGTCATACTTCGGAGTGAGCATCAAGCTTGCATAGCGTTGTTGGTGGTATTGGGTATTTTGATGGAGGAAGGAAGCCGTTAACCAAGATTCGATTAAGATTCAACGCTCGGTCCAAGCGGCTGCGCTAAACCTTATCAATGACCTCACCTCTCCAAACATCGCATTGTTTTGACCTCTACTAACACTTACAAACGATATGGCAGACCTCAACTGCCACATAACCACCTTCAACGCCGGTCGCACTCCCATCGACATCAACTACTTCGCGTCCTCTCTCTACACCAGCCTCAAACAAAGCACCCTACCACCCGACCTCATCGTCCTCGCGCTCCAAGAGCTCGCCCCAATAGGCTACAGTTTCCTCGGCGGATCTCTTCTCACGCCATATTTCTCGAGATTTGCAGAAGCTGTCTACAAAGCGGCGGCATGGAGACTTGGGAAAGATGCAGATTACGAGCACGTGCTCACGAGGAATGCTGGGATGACGGGGATTATGGTGTTTGCGAGGAGGGAGCTGAAGCAGAGGATACAGTGGATTGAGGAGGCGGGGACTGGAGTTGGTTTGTGGGATATGGGAAACAAGGGAGCTGTTGGGGTACGGCTGGGATTGGACAAGACGCCTGTGACGTTTGTGGCCGCGCATCTCGCGCCCATTGAGGCAGGCTGCGAGCGGAGAAACGAAGATTGGAGACGGATATGCGAGAACCTCGTCTTCGAGCCTATCAACGAGAACCCAACATCCACTGATTCAGAACGGCAACCCCTCCTTTCAAACAACCCACCCCAATCTTCGGCACCCCACGACCTCTTCACACCACCTTCCTACATCTTCTTCGCCGGCGACCTCAACTACCGCACCTCAGACACCCAACCCGACCCCGCAGACTTCACCTCCTGGCCTCAGCCAATGGCCTCTCCCTCAGATCCAACGCACTGGAGCAAACTCCTCGCCTCCGACCAACTAACCCGCGAGATCAACTCAGGCAAAACCCTCCACCATCTTGCCGAAGCGCAAATAACCTTCCCACCAACATACAAATACTCGTCGCGCGCACAGAAACTCGCTGGGGAAGCAGCGGAGACACACAAATCGAAAGCCTCCAACGATTCCGACGACGAAACCCCAGCCATCGACCTAACCCAAATCCAAGAACAAGTCTGGCTCTGGGCGAAACATCGCATCCCCTCTTGGTGTGACAGGATCCTGTACCTCAACACCGCGCCATCAACCATCCACTCGTACACGGCCCTCCCCATCCAACCAACCAGCGATCATCGACCCGTCGTACTCTCATGTTCCATCCCACAACGACCCCTCCACGAATCCCAAGTAATCCAATACCCACGCTACGAGCTCGACGACGGATGGAAGGAAAGGAGAATCTTAGCGAGAAGATTGGAAGTCGCAATCGGAGTAGGCGCATACCTCGGATTCACAGGACAGGGACAGATCCTCCTCGGTGGAACAGTTGTCGGAATTGTGGTGGGGTATTTGGTCTTGCAGTATTTGGTTGGTGGTTGAAGCATTTCACGAAGGAAGGAAGAGAAGAGATGGATCCACGACAGCATCCTCACTACGAGACACGAGAATTAACAGACAAGTTATGCAACAATTATGTAAAACCCACTCATCCATCATTCTTATCCTCATCCTCATCCTCATCACGCATGCCGCCCACCCCAAAAAGAAGAGAGACCCTCCAAACAGACCCCAATGCCCAGCAGCATCACGAACAACCAACCACCTCATGCCAAAAGCAAACCCCTAAAGAAAAGCCTCCGACTTCAACCCCGACCTCGCGCCCAAAACGCCCCTCGCGCCAGTATCATCTACAAAAAACCCTTGCTCAAACTACTCTGCCTCACGGGGACCTCAATCTTCACATCCCCCGCCCCCGCCCCTGCCTGACTCCCCCCAGCGATAAGACTCCCCCTCCGACTCCCCGTCTCACTCAAAACACCCAATCCCCTCCTCGCACCTGCCCCACCCTCCCGGGAAACATTCCCCAACCGCTCCAACTCCCTCTCCAATCTCAAATTCTTCTCCCTCTCCTCGCGCAAATCCCTCTCGGCGCGTTTGCTCGCCAGCTGCGCGGACGAGTCGCTCTGCTGGAGCTCGTCGATGGTCTGCAGGAGCCGGTCGATTTTGTCGCGGGATTTGGAAATGTCGTCTGCGGCGAGCTGGAGGGATTTGTCGCGGCGGTCGATTTGCGATTGCAGGTCTTTGACGGTGCGGTCGACGGTGCGCACGCTGCGGGCTTCGGTCGCGCGGGTTGTTTCGAGGGTGTCGAGTTGGGTTTCGAGCTGGGAGGGGGTGTCAGTCAGTGGTTGGATTGGAGGGATGGGATGATGGGGTTGTGAACCTCTTGGATACGGCCGTGCAGGAAACGCACGTCCTGGCTTCCGCTCGAGTAGCCCTTCGTCTCGAGGTCGATGCACTTGAGTTGGAGATCTTTGACGCTCTTCTCCAAAGCTGCCTTGTCTTTGTGGAGCTGGACACTAGTGTCACGCTCACTGGCAATGTCCTTCTGAACTTCCTGGGCGAGAGCTTCCGCACGACGCATCTTGCCGACCGCAGCAGCTGCGATGTCTTCTTGCTGGGCAAGCTTGGACTTGAGATCCAGGACCTCTTTGTCTGACAGAGCAGCAGACCGCTTGGCTGGAGATCCGCTCTGAGATAGATCGTCAAGACGTTGAGCTGCCTCTGCGAGCCTGGTTTCGAGACCCTTCTTCTCCTTGACGAGTATATCACGTTCGGCAGCGACGTCGTCGACATTGGTTCGCAAGCCACGGACTTGGCCAAGTAGCTCCACGACCTTGCTTTGCGCTTCGTTGTGGGCATTGACAGCCTCATCTCTTGAGTCAGATAGACCCTGCAGAGCAACCTCCAAACGGGACTTCTCCTTCGCCCAAGTCGAGCTATTGAGAACTTCATCATCCCACTTGCTTCGCAGCTGGTCCAGCTCATCACGAAGACGGCCGTTCTCGCCACGAGCATGAATGACGTTGTCGCGCTCAATCTCCAGTTCATTCGACAGTGTCGCCAACTCAGTCTGATACTTCTTGCGAGTCTGCTCCATGGACGACTCCTTGTCCTCGAGGTCCATCGCTCGTTGCGAGCGGTAATCTTCAAGTTCATTCTGCAGACGCTTCTTCGCTTGCAGGGCACTCTCAAGATCGGTCGAGATGTCCTCGATCTTCTCCTCATACTGCTGTGTCTGCCGCTGAAGGTCTTCCACTAGCTGATCCATCTGCTTACGCTCCGACATGATGGTAGCACATGTCTCCTCGATCTCCTTTGCCTGTGACTTGGCGAACTGTTCAGCACGAGATGCTTTGAGCACAGCGATCTCAGCTTGTTCTAGCTTCTCGAAGTATTCATCCGCTCTGGTCTTGTAGAGGTTCATGCTCGCCACCAAGTCCTCGCCTCTCGAGGTCTCGGTATCCAGACGAATTTGCAAGTCAGAGAACTCTTGAAGTAGCTGAGAGTGGTTTGCGGCCTCCTGCTCCCTCTCATACTGGATATCCGCAAGCTCAGACTTAGCATCGCGAAGTTCGACCTCAACGCCTGCCTTGTGCTGCTTGATATCATCAAAGGCAGTCTTCGCGTCAGCAAGCTCGGCAATGGCAGCATTGTGCGAAGTAGCCAGTGAGCGTCGAGACTGTTCCTGGGAGTTGATCAAGTCGTAAAGCTCCTCGTGGCTCTTGGTCTGGACTTCCTTCAACGACAGCTGGCCAGCGCGGATGCTCTGCTCCAGAGCGGAGACCTTCTTGGCGGAGTCATCCAGCATATCATGCAAACGGAAGTTCTCTCGCTCCAGCTTTTGCACCCGTCCCAGCGAAGGACTCTCGTCTTGCCAGTTGCTCTTGTCAGGGCTGCGGCCAATCTGAGCTTGAAGATGGCGGTTCTGCATTTCCGACATTTGCAGCTGGTTCTGAACCAACTCGAGCTCAGCCGCCAGATCCATACGGTTGTTGTAAGTGAAGGTGTCCGTGGTCTTGTCCGAGCGAGCAGAGTCATTGCTGGCCTTGCTAATGTGGCGTTGGTTGCTCGGTGTGTTTGGAGTACCATTCGTGTTCGCTCGCTCGAATGGCTTCCGGCTCTCCCACTCACGGCGAAGATGGCTAGGCGAAGATCGGGCGTTAACCTGGCTTGCGTCCATCTCTTCCAGGAGTGCCCGCTTGGAGTTCTGGTGCCGAGAGTCATTCTCCTGCAAGTCCTCTTGGTGCTGAGCTCGCAGGCCTTCAAGCTGTGCCTCAGCTCTGGAGAACCGCTCGGTAGCCAGTCGAAGAGCATGTTCGGACGATTCGAGCTTCTGGGCGAGATCGATTGTCTGCTTCAGGTCTGGCTTGGCGCCGTCGAGATTGGAAGGAAGCTTTCCATGCTCAGGGTCGAAGATCTTCTGCAGCAGACGCAGGTGTTCATGTGCCTCGCTGAGCTCCCTGTGGGCGGCATCGAGAGAGGATTGGATTGTGCGAGAGTTCTGCTGGGCTTGGCTGCGAAGCTGTCTCTCTGTCTCGAGCTTGCGATTCGCTTCCGCCAATTGCAGATTGGTGGCGGACGATTGCTGCTCGGCATTGCGAGCGGTCTTGTGCTCCCGGTCGACTTCATGGTTCAGGTCCTCCAGATTCAACTGCAGCTTCTCTTTTTGCTTCTCAAGCGATGTGATCTGGAGCTGAGCGTCGTTAAGCTGGCGCTGAAGCTTCTTCGCCTCTTCATCGGATTTGGTCTTCTCGGTCTGCAGTTGAGCAATGCGTCCGCGTTGGGTATCGCTGACTTTCGAGTTCGAGCGAGCAATGTCCAGATTCTTCTGCTGCACCTTGTTCATCAGCGCACGGTTGTCGTTCTCCGACGCCGTCAGCCGGCCTTTGATTGTCACGAGCTCTCGCTCAAGTCGCTGCTTCTCCTGATCGTGGTGCAGCTTGAAATTGTCTGATTCGGCGATGAATCGCTTCAATCGCTGGACTTCACCCGCAAGTTGACCTCGCTCGGTCTCCAAGTCGTTGTTCTGTTTCGACTTCGCATCCAGCTCTTGCCGCACAAGTACATGTCGCTCGTTGGCCTGGCGTGTGACATCACGCTCGACGGCAGCCTCGCACTCAATCTTCGCCTCTTGAAGCTCGATGAACTTCTTGCGCAGACCTTGGAGTTCGGTCTGGTACTCTTTCCGCTCAGTCTCGGCAGACTCTTTGGCCGAAGTTGCTCGCCTCGTCAAGTCAGACTGAACGTACATTTCCTTCTCGACGGTGACCTTGGACTCGTTCAATGCCTCGTACTCTCGCTTGAGGTCTTGGAACTCGGCGTCCGCAATCTTCTTCACATCGTCTCGAGACTGGCGCTCGCGGCTGAGATCGGCTTGTGCTTGATACAACTCGCCCCGTACTTCATGAAGTTGGCTCTCGAGCATCTCAACCTGTTCGTTGGCAGACGTCTGTTCTTCCAAGGCTCTCTTCGCATTAGCAGCCTCGCGTTCGAGCTGTGTGTGCTGGGATTCCATGACCTCCAACTGCGCCTGAAGATCACGCAATCGGGTTTGGACACCGTCGTGCTTGGTTGTGAGGCTGTGCTTCTCGTCTTCGAATCGCTTCCGGTCATCCTGATACTTCTTGAGGTCGCTCTTGAGGATAGCCAACTCGCTGTCTTTGCGCTTAATGAGATCCTCGAAGCTCGTTGAAGTCGCGGAAAGATCGGACATCTGTTGGCGGATAGACCTGTTCTCATCAATCAGGTCCTTTACTTGCTTCTTTGCTCCGCTGAGGTCTTTCGTGGCAGTGGCAAGCTTGACATCCAAATCTTGGTCATTCTTCAGCAGCTTCGTCTCCAAGTCTTGCAGCTTACGGTCCTTCAGACTGAGTTGGCTTTGTAGCATTCGAACTTCTTGCTGTAGAGACTCTTCTTGCTCACTGCGCATGGACTTGGCCTTCTCCACTTCCGCCAGATGGGCATCCAGTTCAGAGATGCGATCGGACAAGTCGGTCTTTTCAGATTCGAGCTTGGTGATTATGTGACCAGCATGCTCCAATTGGCCTCGACGCTCTTCGGCTTGGTCTTCAGCTGCCTTGCGGGCAGCCATGAGCTGATCCATCTGTTCTTCCAGTCCGTCCTGGTCATCAAGGGCGCCTTGCAACTTCTCAGTCAGCTCGGCTTCACGGTCTTGAAGTCGGCGGAAGATCTCCTCCTTATCCAAGGCCAGAGCACGTTCGCTCTCGAGTGTCTTTTGAATCTTCTGAATTTCATGTTCAGCCCTCCTCCGCTCATCGTCCACCTTGGCACGATGGGCTTCTTCTTGCAGCATCTGATCGTGAAGCTTCTTGATCTCTTCTTCGCGCTTCTTGATCTCGTTTGATTGTCTTGTGGCTCCGAGTAACGGTCGCATGCGTACGAACAGCTGCCACCACGGATTTTGCTGCATTTGAAGGTAGACCTGGAAGTTTCTCTGGATGACCCGAGTCGCCTCGGCGCGGTATTGCTGTTTCTTAAACGCCCTCCGCTGGACAAACATCCTCGCCAGAGCCTGGAAT